ATTTTGAAATTTTTTGATTACTTTCTAAAATTATTTTATTTTATTTTATTTTTATTTTTTTTTTTTAAACAACGATTATGCATAAATTAACATGCTTACATAACGTAAGCACTTTTACTTACAATTTATTCCAATATTTTTAATTCCTTTTCTGTAAAAATAACCATTTTTTCGATTCATTCTACTTTTTTTTTAAATTGTATCTCCTATTTTTTTTATTATTCTTTATTAATTTTTTTTATCTTTTCTTTCTTCACCTTTTAACTCTTGTTTCTTTTCTTTTATAATTTTTCTACAACACGCAAATAAAGAATAACAATTATGAGAAATAATGTTTCAATTATATATTTACTAGAAAAAAGTACAACTGTACTATACCTCGTTTTTTCTTTATCACGTACGCGTTTGAACGTAGGTATAGTTGAGATCTTCTCTCTAACAGGAGCTTTGCGTTCTTGCTTTCGTCTTTCCATTTTACTATGTTTTTTCATGGATAACATATAATCAGGAACGTTACATCCAGAATCTCGCATAACAGTCGCTATGCTAAAATATTAAAAATTATTTGTATTTATATTTTTAATATACTTGTATATTTCAGTATGATATTTTAAAATCTTTACCTCCTCAAATTTGTAGTATCTTGTTCAGTAAAAAAGGTAATTGCTTTTCCTTTATGTCCAGCTCTACCAGTACGACCTATTAGAACAGTGTGTGTTAAAAATCATTTAAGATATGTAATCTGTTTATTAAATTTCGAAATACATACCAATTCTATGAACATAAGAAATGGCAGACGACGGAAAATCGTAATTTATAACAAGATTTACACCTTTGAAATCAATACCTCTTGCCATTAATTCTGTACATACTAAAACCCATATTTTTCCTTCTCTAAAGCAACGTACAACATTATCTCTCTAAAAAAAAGAGGTGTTTGATAGTATTTGATTAACAAGTTATCACATATGTAAAATATACCTGCGTTTGTGTTCTATCAGCGTGAATGACGTCCACGTTGACTCCGTCATATATAAGTTCGTTAAATAACTCTTGTGCTCTTTCCTTACTTTGTACGAATATCAATACAGGCGGCAATACTCCCTTTATCAAACGTAATAATTTATTTAAAAAAATATATATATATAATGATAGTACCCTTGGATATAATAAATAAAAACAGTACCTTTTGGATAATGTTTCTGAGTGCCATGAGTTTTCCACTTTCTGTGCTAACAAATAACAATTCTTGTTCTACTAAGTTTGTTGCGGCATTCCTGTTAAAAAATATATTGGTAATCATTTGTTAAAAAAAAAAATTTTTGTATATATAAAGAAAAGAAGTTAAACCTGTGTCCAACGGTAATTGTTATAAGACTTTTCAGATTATGTCTACACCACTTAGACACTATAGAAGTATTAGTTGCACTAAACATTGCTTTATGTAAATTTTCATTTGTACATGACTTTAAAATTGTTTCCAATTGGTTTCTGAAGCATCTTGTTCCATCTTCAAAAAGTTTATCTACTTCATCCACAATTAGCCACTCTACGCTACAAAATTTTTAATACCTTGTGCATTATGTACAACTTTAACAAGACTAAAATATAGCAAAATATATAAATTATATTATGTATTATGCATTATGTACAACTTTAACAAGACTAAAATATAGCAAAATATATAAATTATATCATGTTACTCTATTTTTATTACTTGCTAAAAGAAATAGCTGGTGGATCCTGAGTCAACAAATATATTATTCTTTTTGGTGTAGTGATTAATATATCTGCAACAAATGAAAATACAATTACACAAATTATTTTGTTGTATAATTTTCTTTACAATTTATACCAACCAAACTTCTGTGAACTCTTTGGTCCATATTTGTTTAATGCTTGATTTACTTTACTTATGATATGAACTCTAAAATCATATCCTTCGCTAAGGCGTAAGCATTCTCTATACGTTTGTTTTGCTAATTCCCTTGTTGGACTTAATATAACAGCTCTGAATCCTTTTCTTTTTGGTCCACCCAAGTGATGAATTATGGGTACCAGGAATGCAGCTGTTTTTCCAGATCCAGTTGGAGCACATGCTAATATTTGTCTGCCCTAATTTAACGATAAGATCAATGTTTTACTTTTGGCTAAAAACACTGGTGCAAATAAAATTTCAATAATAAATGTGACAATCTTACTTGTAACATGGCAGGTATAGCCTGCATTTGAATCGGAGTAGGACATTCGTAACCACAACTTATGATATTGTTTATTAATTTGCTACATATACCATGAGTCATTGATAACTCAGTAAATTCTGTGATAGGTTTAGGTATACGATTGCCTGTAACGCTTATGCGATGTTGATTACGAAGTTGGTTGGTCTAAAAAAAATATAATATATTAAAGCAACATTATCCTTTGTATTAATATATAATAACATATAACAATATAATATATAATATATTAATTACAATAATTTTATATTAATAAAACATTAAGAACCTTTTCTTTTTCCAACTTCGATCGTTTCTCCTCGGTTAGAGATACTTTACACTTTTTATTCTGATTTTTAGACACAGGCATTCCCTCGAGCAACATAGGCTCATAAATATTTTCAGTTTCTTTTTCGATGTCATCGTGTTTTCTTTTTCCACATAACGTTAAATGATTTATTTCGTTAAAAACTTCAGTATCTAGTTTTTTATCGTTAAGCTCATTCTCAGGTTGCCTATTGACAAGCTGTACAAAATAAAATGGTTATGCTATTGAAATTTGTTTAAAATGTATTACGTTTTGTTTTATTTTTAACTAAAAAGAGAAAGAAAAATACCTGAAATCTTTTCGCATCAACTTGAAAACGTTTTTTATCGAATTTTACGCCGATAGATAACTTTCGAAAAAGTTCGTAAGCATCCATTTTTTCTTGATCGCATTTAAATGAAAAACCAATTTGATCGTATCTGTATAATCACGATCGTACATAATACTCGTTCAAAAAGATCAGATTCGACGATATAAGAAACATGAGTATATACAATACTTGTAGCAGCGTCTCATGTGTCCATACAATCAGATCTATCCTGTGGTTAGTCAATATCAATGATGCGACACGAGTTCTGAATCTGAACTATTAACGTCGATATGTATGTAAAACTGTAAAACAGGTTGTGTACAGAACAACGACTCCATCTACTACTATCCACATGCATACATACTCCTACCTATTGGCTCAAGTGTAAACAATAATCAAAGTCAAATTAATCTTTTCATCAAACATGGAAAAAGACTGGATAAATGATTAATGAAACTTTTGTTCTTAAAAGTTTGTCGCGATATACTATCATCGATACATCGATACCCATGGACTGTACGAATAAACTGGAGATGTATATCCACTTTTTATTTATTTAAATAATAACATTAAATATATTCGGTGATCGTCTTCTAATGTTCGCGTTACGATTGGATAGAATGTTTATTAAAAAATACAAAGTTACAGTAAGTACGTGAAATGTAATGAATCTTCATCGACAAACTTGTTAAATAAATCTTTGACATATTACAACAAAGGGAATTGTTACGTTACATTGCGTTTGCAAATTGTATATGCATGTATTGAAATAAATAAATTATCAGTGATGTATTGTTATTTATTTACTTACATGCTATTGTACAAGGTGATGATTGGTATCAA